ATGTTCATGATTTTTGGCAGGCAGGTTACTGTTGGGGGAGGCAAGGTCAAGTTGGAAAATAGGCCTCGTGGGGGGTCCCCACGTCACTGCAGTGGACTTTTTGTGTTATTACCTTCGCCAAGAAGGTTATGTTTTCAGGGGCGTTCGTGTGTGTGTGTGTGTGTGTGTGTGTGTGTCTTGTGTCTCTGTGTGAACATGATAACTTGAGAAGGCCTTGATGGATTATCTTGATACTTGGTATATGGGTAGGTCTTGATGAGGCCTTAAAATGATTGGATTTTTGGCCCCCTGGCGGCTTGTCATGGTTTTGCAGCAGAACGTCTGGTTTTGATACCTCATGATCTAGACATGCTAGGATCACTAAATTTAGATGGTAGATAGCTCTTGTGCTGGGGATGAAGTGACGTGAGTTTGAGCCCCCTAGCTGCTTGCTCTGGAACTGCAGGGGCGTTTCTTGAAAAATGTTTAAAGGAAGATCCGATTGATGAATCGTCGTGATTTTCGGTATCAAACACATTCATATATATGGTGACAGGAGTCTAAATCCCTCCTACTATAAAATTGCAACATGATGTAACCCAACACCAGTTACCATGGTGAGAGACGGTCTGCTTCATGTCATTGACCAGATCAGGGGTCACTGTTTGGAGAAGAAGAAGAAACTGAGCAAAAACAATATCTTCAAGCTGAAACATGAAGTTTGAGTACAATTTAATCTGAAAGAAACAGAAGCATACATTTCTTGTTGCAGTCCCTACATTTGAACCATGTAATACTATAATACATAATACAAGCACAGTCTTGGACGACAGTGAAAGACATTGGTATATAGACACCTTATAGTAACCAATACACCACTTCTACTGGCAGATATACCAATACAAAACTGGTCAGAAGTTGGAATACATAACTCTGTATGCAGAGAGCATAAGGTATATTCATAATAAAACAAACTTGGACGTTTCAAATCTTTTTCTCGCTTTAAAGTTACACACTAGCATAAGCTTAATATAGCCAAAGACTAAGGAAAACAAATATACATGAATAAACACAAATTTTAGCAAAGCAAATAGGAACATGGTATGGCTCAAAACATTACATACACACATTGAATATTTTCATTCTTGTTTGTTTCCAAGTTCTTTTTGCACCAAAATAATGCAAGTTTGGTCAAGTTGGCTTAAAGGTAGGGCATATTAAAATATTTTCAACGTCCAAAAAAACAAAACACAATAAACAACATAGGAATCTTATTGTATGGCCAGTGTTTGTAAATGTTTTTGAAAAGGTGGTACAACACTGAAGGTAATACAGTATGATAGCAAATGTCCCATACTATTACATGTTAACCTTCTCCCTGCTGCCTAAACCCGTAAGCAATACAAAAGTGTGGCCAAAGGCTACTTCAGCATTGAAAAGGTTAAAATACCATATTTTTCTCAAAACTGCCAATGCATTTCAACTGGTACTCAAGGTTTAAGTTGTCCGTTTTGAGGCATACATGTAAGCAAGAATACATGTAGCTTGTTGGTTGTTCGTAATATATCAAAACAAAACAATAATTGTATCTTTTAGGACTCTTATGCAGGAGAAAGACATGTAGTACTTGTAGGTATAGTTACATATAGGAATCACATGGCTTGAATCAACACAAAGTGTACAAGAATAACACAAAACCTCAAAACAGTGATTTTCTACATTACAAAAAAAAAACCATAACTTAAAATCTGTAACAAAATTATGTACTAAAAACAACTGGCAAGTACAATATAGGTGCTGTTCTCAAATAGTTGTTATTGGTATTATATGATGTCCATTTGTAACAGCAGCTCTGATTTGAAGAATCTTGGTCTAATTGTAACTGTAAACTTCATATGTTGTACATTTGTATGAAGACACTACATGTTAGGTTATGTGAACACAATTCACAATACTGGACTATGACTATTCCTATGTATATATCTTGTCCAAGATGATGACATGAAAAATAAGAGTCAAGAGCATAGTCCACACCATTTTTACAAATCTAGTTGCACTAAGGAAAGTTTTCACATGAATCCTGTTTAAAATGTAGAAAAAAAAACAAGATTACTCTCTACTAGAGCACACAATATCACATACTTCTTTTACAATACAGAAAGCACTGAAAAAAAATTCTAGCATGTCCCCTTCATGGTCAAAAATGTAAATAAAAAACACAACAAAGTGCAAAAAACACAGCATGCTACTATTACTAGTACAGTACAGTAAACCATCTTTGTCAAAACAATTATAACTTTTCTGTACTCATTTTAACTTTACTCTTGAAAATATCCATCCACTTGACAAAGTATACAACAAAGACTGGTGATATTTTGTTTAAAACAACCAACTTCTACAGATTAAACAAAAAATCCTAGAAGTAGAGAAAAACGTGTCTCTAAAAATTGCTTTCTTCCAATACTACAGAAAGATGAACACAATACAATTCCACATTGTTAAAAAGTCTTGCCTATGATAAGGCCTATGCATAATACTAACAGTATGCTTGGGAATTTTTGGCTACACCTCTGGGGCGGAGCCAAATACATTGCCATTGACTTCACAGCACCCAAAAAACATATTCCATCACGAGACTGGCAAAATGCAAAAACGTCAAAAAGTTGTCTACGATCCATTGGTCAAAGTTTGACACAATTTTTGCCACAGTACACTATCATGCTATTGCTCTTCTCAATAGTACACAGCATACATTATATGATATGCAAGGAAAGTTAGAAACTTTTTGTTTGTTAGAGTTTTTCTGTGCACTGAAGATATCGCTGGGTAGAGCCTTGCTTTTCATGATTAATCATTAAATTACTACTACCACAAGAGCATGCCGGCAGAACGTACTGCACCTGCGCGAAACCCGTAATGTATTGTACATAGCATTTCAGCAGAATGTCTCATATAAGGTTGTATTCGCTCATATAAGGTTAGCATTTCGACAGTAGTTATGTCGGAAAGAATATCCCCTGCAACAGGCAAAATTCTGATGCAACGTTGACCAAAAACCGAACGAAAAACGCGAAAATACGGGGTTCTGCGCAGGCGCAGTACGTTCTGCCGACGTGCTTACCACAAGTAAATTGTACCTTATTCTTCTAACACCACCACAATACATGTACCTACTTGTACATTATGTTCTAACAATTTTACTCAAGTTAGAATGATAACATAAAGAGGGGGGTTGGATTTCTACGAAGGTTCTACAATGCAAATATATCATAACACAACGATAATAATACTTATGTACACATGACAACGAAAACTTTTGAAAGACATTTGGTAGCACAAGGGACTAGTTTGTTTAAAGAGACCGGTGCCCACCTGAAGCATATTTTATTACTTACAGTAAATTCAAACTGGTAAACCAACAACATCCGAGTCAAGCCAGTCTAAAAACTAGATGTGGTTGTTTCATCGAATCTGTAACGACGTTTTAACCATTTCAACAGTATTTGCTCAAATGCTCTACCTGTTTTTGACTCCAGAGAATTTGAAGCAATAGATAGTATACATATCTTTAAGCATCTTTAAGCAAGTTTTTGATGAAATTATTGAGAAGCATTTGTAGTAATACAGGCTCAAAATCCACATATTCATTCATCAGGCTCATCTCAAAAGTTATGGTAAATTTGAGAATAATATGTTCCTGTTTTCCCTGTTTCAGACAACCAGGTCCTGATTGGTCTGTACATCTGATGATGTAATTATCTAATAGCCAATCAGAGTCCCTCAAAGCCTGCACAAAACCATGTTTGTTCCTCTATAGCCAGAAGTGTTCATGTTCCCCTAACTCACACAAAAACGGGATCTTCTTTACTCCATTTGCAGCCACCTCATTTTAACCCAAACTTTTGAGGACCTTTCTCAGTGCCCAATTTTTACTGGATACAGCATAACTCAGTCTGAGGAAGGTTAATAAAGGGTTAATGCCCCGCTCTTAGGTGTATATGGTGAGATAATAAAAAGTGGTCGGTTATTTCAATAACCGACCACTTTTGAGGTTACGGCCAGATAACCAATGGAAAATGGAGCTTTCTGATTGGTCAACGTCTTCTGGCTTTATGATATTATTATATATACTTCATTCTTAGGCACATTTCGAGGCAAAAGAGTCAAAGGGAAGACTTTTATCATAATTTAGACCTTGTTCAGGTGGGCACGGTTCCCAATGTAGAAAAATACCACTTTAACACCATGCTAAAACAACACATTGTTCACCTCTCTTATTTACAAACTTCCATACTCCGTTTTTACTTTAAGACATACTGACTCCATTTTTAGTGACATACTGACTGGATTTTCGATTCTGCACTCATCTGTGGTGTGTCACAAGAACCCAAACATTGGCCAAGCCAGCTTTTTAACTTCTTTTTTTGGTCAGGAATCCTAATTCCTCTTCGAAAATGTTATTGCCCTAATTATGGAAATGCGTTTTTGATCTTCATTTGTTACATTCCTTCCAAATCCATTTTGATCTCTTTGTAACCTCCTTTTACAAATTCAAACTGTTTTGTGTCCCCTGTTTGGACACCTACAATGGAATAGTCCGTTGCTAGGGTTACGTTCCAATGTTTGGAGTACTTGTTGACACAAGATGATATTTGAGGGAATGTAAAAATGTTATACGTACTTCGGATATTCCCCTTAAAACTGCACTGCCTTTAGTGACTACCACGGGTGCATACATTATTACCATAGTTAGGCCACACCAATTTAATTTTTTGTTTCTCGGATTCGCCTCTTCATTTTTTTCTGATTTGCAAAAAAAAAAAAACAGCCTTTCGTGTTGACTTCATGTCTCCTTTTGTAGCATTTGGGGCTATCATTGCCTATAATTGTGTTTAATTTTTTTTCGCCCTGTCGTTTCATATTTTTTTATCAAAAATTCCGAGAACCAACAAATTAAATTGGTGTGGCTTTATTATTATAGTTAGTTTAGATCCTACTCTGCATAAATGTAAGTGTTAACAAACTGTCCTTATTGCATTTACAAAAGCTGGTTCTAGTTTCTTAATAGTAGTATTTTTCATGGTCATGTTTGACAGTTTTCTTCAGTAAGATATGCACTTCTTTGAAAGGACGCTTCAGTATTTGTAAGGTTGGACTGGACCGGGCAAAGACTGGACGACTGACGATTCGATTATTGCACATTTCGCCGCACTGAATCTTCCTTTTTCTTTAACCAATCGTGAGTTAGCTGAAATATCGCAGCATGCTGACTCTCTAAAAGCATTGGGGCACTTTTCGTTTCAGTTTTCACTCGTTTCATCACGTTTTGCAGCTATCTTTTAATACGTATTGCTTGGATGTTATCATGCCTAATACAACATAGCCAAATTTAGCTTCTATTAATAATGTTACTAGCATTGCTTTGTGAAGCCCTACATGTACTTAAGACTTTTACTGTTTTGTGTACTTTGGTCCAGTTCTGTTGGTTTTGGAGGATAACGTTTGGGGTTCGAGCTGTGTTTTTGCATAGACTATTCTTCCATGTAGACCGGTACATTGTAGATAGTGACTGTTTGGAGCAGTTACTGACATAAGGGCTTTCCACTGCAAAGAGTGTTGTGATTTTTTTCTTCATATTAGCTGCTGAATTGAAATTTCAAGTTTCACAAACCAATAAATTATGTAACCGTTAGGGATAACTTTTATTTCTGAGGGTGTTCCTCCCTCCTAATTTGTATATTTCTGGGTCAAAAATCACTGATTTTGAAATAACGATACATGTACCATTTTTCTGGCCAAAACTTATTCCAATTCTGTAGGTAGTCAGCCTATTCTCAGACATATTAACCAATCCATACACAAGACAAATACGTCGGCCCCTTTTCTCTCCTCTCTTCCCTGGCTCTAAGTTGAGTGGAACCTGCAATGGTAGAAAATAAAAATAAAATACATTTTTTTAGTGTTCAGCAATATTGCAGAAATTTTGCTCTACAATTCAGAAATACTCAACCACTTGCTCAACTCCTCACTCACGCACGCGCGCGCGCACACACACACACACACACACATACACACACACATGTACACTCACACACAAACACTACAACATTAATTCCTACCACGTACCATGTTTGCTGTGAGTTGTGGCCCGTCATGCGAAGTACATGACCCGGAGCGTGTCAGGGTGGACCTGCACGGCGCGAGCCATGTCCATGTGTGTCCGCTCACTGCTGTCTCCTGATCGGAACGAGCCCTCTCCGCTGTACAAGAAACATTAAACAAATTTGTTACACTTAGTGTTGGCAGACCTAATGCACAACCTACACAAATCAACAAGGTCAACAAACATCTGTCGTCACTGGCTGTACAGTAACCCAAAACATTTTTAGTGGCCTTATAGTGCTGAATTGATGCGGGGTTGCATTCCTAAACTGAAGAAAAGTACCCATCCAAACCTGGGTGGAGTGAAAAGTCATGTAAAGTGCCTTTCCCACGGGCACAACGTCAGGGCGCATGTCCCGGGTACTCTGGTAATTTGGGATCGAACCCAGGTTTTTAGCCATTAGTCGAACGCTCTACCACTACGCCATCCGACGCCACATGAGTATGGGTATGCATATGAGAGGACTGAGAGAAAAGCCCAAACCTGTCGTGGTCCTTCTCCACGAGATGGTAGTGTGCGCGGAAGGCGACGAGATGTGCGTAGTAGGCAGGGGCGGGGATGGAGACACTCCGGGTGCAGCGGACGTAGGTGTGGCACAGTTCCCGACTTACTCCTAACCATGGTTGGGGGACTTTGGCAGTGTTCAGAAGGCCATATGTGTCACTGTGGCTTTACGTACTCCATGGTCAGGGGAAGTTTTGTAGTGCTTGGGATGCCATATTCGGCCATACGTGACAGAGGCTTTAGCTATACACTGGTACAAACCTGTCGTGGTCCTTCTCCACGAGATGGTAGCGTGCTCGGAAGGCGACGAGATGTGCGTAGTAGGCGGGGGCGGGGATGGAAACGCTCCGGGTACAGCGGACGTAGGTGTGGCACAGCTGGTACGTCAGCATCTGCAGGTCGTCTGCCATGAAGTTGTTGTCGTCCCACAGAACGTGGTAGTGGGACGGGCGGCTCGTACCCTGGAATGGGGGGCAAGAGGTTCATGTAAAGGACACATTTTTCTGATCACTTACATGTATTGAATTGTAAATGATGATGATTGAATAGGACTGAAGAATTTGAGACTGAAGAATTTGAGACTGTAGAAATGAAAGTCTTTAATTCTATTCAACTAGATACATTTTGTGTCTTGATCCTGTCTTTTCAAGACTTGTCCAATTGATAGGCTGACACTTTGCCATTAAATGCTACCATGTTGAAGGTTGTCCAAAATAAATGTATGTGAACACTGAACAACCATTAAATTTTACTATCTTTCCAGTATCATATTTGTGAAATATGAAATTAGACAAAAAATGTTGTTCAAGTTTGCATCATTTTTAATTGACATGCTGTTTAATACCTGTTCAATGGGTTTTGATGTAAATCTTCTATGTTATGTGTAAACTACACTAACAGTACCATACCTGGATGCCAGCATGGCTGCACAGGTAGAAGTCAAACTCTGTAGGGTGGGTGATGCCAACATCAACTGTCGTGCCTGCTGGGATGTTACCGCTCTTCCCAATCTGTCACAAAATAATACACGTCATGTCAGCGTGGATGTCATGATGTTTGTCCAGCGTACTTGATGAGGACCCTACTAGTGTGTATGTAAAGCACTTAAGCACTTAGCTATAGATATTTAGATTGTACCAACCAGAGCTTATTGTCTGCTCCAAAGTGACGATCTAGTAGTAGCCGTCGGTCTATTGACCGATAACTTTCTAAGCTACCGTGTTGACATACATGCACTTTATCTTCCACGCCACAACATAACAAATGTTCTGTGTGCTTGTTGCACTTTGAGTAATATGTCCAAGTCTGAGACATCAACAAAACACATCTGGACATGTATCAAGCATCTTCTAGATCTTAAATGACAGTTCTTCTTGTGCTATGCACAATACAGCTTTCACGCAGGTGTAGTAAGAATGCTGGCAGACTGAAAGTGCCCCCTGACCTGTTCCTTCCTGTCGGAGCAGAAGAGCCTGGTGTGGTGTCGCTTCTGCACCACGATGAAGGTCACGCCTGGCTCATAGCCGACCTCCAGCTTCACACACGCCTCACGGATCGCACGCAGCTCATGCCACAACACCTGGGGAGACAGGCAGTCAACCAGGAGGGGTTAGGTTTGCAAAGACTTGTTACTCAATCCAGTGTTCAGCATCCATCTTTCCATCATTTCTGTGAATATCTATTACAGAAGCTTGGCTGGAAATACTTGCACCACTCAGAATTCAGGAGGTATAGATCATACTAAAACTGTTCAGAAACCATTGCTATTATTTCTTTTATACTTCATAGTCAGGTTCACAAAGACAATCCAGTATTCTAGCTAGTATCTGTTTTTCAGCCATTTAACAGAACTTTGCTGCTCATGACAGACAAAAATTTTGCAGAATCCGCCAACTATGAGGGACAAAAATCAGAATGTAAAGATACGGAAAGCGATGTCATTAAACTAAGTCTACTAGCAAATTTGACCTCTCAAAATGCAAGAAGACAGTGTTTCAGATGATATGGTATACAACCCTATGATCTTTCCCCTACCTGTTGAAATTGACCCTTGCTTTAGCTTGTTTTCCATAGTTTCCATTGGAAATTTCATTTAATTTTGGCCCCTTCCCAAATGATGACGTGGTGTAACCCTACGAACTTTGCCCTGACCTATGACCTTTGTCCCTACCTGTTGAAACTGCCCCTCGCTGACCCCGTCCCGGTACATGATGATCCTGGTTGGTTTGAAGCGGGTTGACTTGTAGAACTGGATGAGCAGTTCCCTCACCATGGACGCCAGGTCTGCGATTATCTCCTGTCGGTGCGTCTGTACGCGTACCGTCGCGGCGTAGCGACTCGGGTGAGCATCCATGCTACCAACAACCTGTCAGAGAAAAAGGGCAGTTTGAAAGCGTCAGTACAGTATTTTGTTGTACATATGGCAAAACAAGTGAGAGAGGCTGTCTTGGAACATGCACATTTTTTGGGGGGTCGTTCTTACAAACTTTTGATCAAAGTTGATTAACACATCACATTAAGCATACAGAAGTATAATCATAAAAATCAAACATTACATTTTCAGGTTTTCATCTTTTGTCGTTGCAATCACATTTTTAACCAGGAATAAAATCAAACAAACAATTGCCATAAATTGTATACACTCTATCCAAATAGACATTCCTCCGTCAATCAATTCTTGGAACAAATTCAAATTCAATACAAGTCATTCATTTCTTAAATTTTTTAGTGTAATTATCACAAAATAAAGATTTTTTTTACAAATATAAAAAATACATCAGCCTCTCTCTTGCCACAATGTATTAAATGATAATTAATTATATATATATATACATTATATAAACATATCTACATGTACTAGTCACAAACTAACAAGCAAAAACTCCTTTAAGTAATCAGATAGACGGATGGCCATTCGGGTAGTACAGGTGAAAATCATGGCGCCAGCCTGCAAAGAAAAGCGTTTTCTGTCAAAATGCTTCTGTGGGGAGCCGGGGAGACACCACATGCAGAGGGAGGGAAGGAAAGAGACACGGAGAGGACGACAAAAAGGATGGCAAGCATTGTGTGTTTAGAAATAGGCAGTCAGAATATTGTACAGGACAGAGAGGTTGTATGTAAGGTTTAGAAGAGATTTTAGACGAGAGAAGTTGGAGAAAAGTTTTGAAGAAGTTGTGTTCTTGATACAAGGTTCAAGAAGTTTTTTTTCTTGATACAAGTTTTGAAGAAGTTGTTTTCTTGATGAAAGTTTCAAAGAAGTTGCTTTCTAGAGAATTTAGTGTTGTATCAATCAAGGTAATTCCTGGGGGCCCATGAGAAAAGATGGAGGGGTCATCAAATTTCTCAAAGATCGATATTGTTCCAAATCAAGTAAAAATCATCTGAGACTGGCCAAGTGGCAGCAAAGGTGACAGAGTTCTTGATTTGTAGAATATTGTGAGTTCTGTCAAAGTTGGTTAGTGCCTTTACTTACACTCAAAATTGTTCTATTGGCCATTTTTATAGAGACCAATTTTTAGTAGCTGATATCTTTTGTAAGGTTGCTTTTTCTTTGAACTACAGCTTTGGGAAAGTTACTTTTATTCTTGCTTTTATTACAAAACATTTTACAGGGTTTACACTGGAATATGCATTTCTAGGCCCGCATTTATGACAAGTGTTTTCCCAATAGATGCAAAAAAAGATTCAGAGAAAAAATCAACAAACAAAAAAAAAACGAACACAACTTCTACAGGGAAGGATACGAAACAAAACGGGAAAGAAAAAAACAAAAAACAAAACGAGCAACGACAAAGTAAAGAAGGACAGGTCCTACGACATGCTACTCAACCACATACAGCAGAAGACACAGTAGGGTTAGCCTAGCTAACAGAGAGCTCCCACATACAGCTGCTATCGATGGTTTTCTCCCGTCACCGGCCGGCGGGTGCGTCACGTCCGCTCCAATGAAAATGACGGGCTCCAAGAAGACGCGCGGGCTGCGAAGAGACGGAACAGGTTTCAAAAGACAATGAGAGGAGGATCATGGGATTGCTGGCCACGCCTAGAGGGCCTGCTGATGGGCCGGACCATTACGCTGCCTGGCGGGGGTCCAACTTCTCTGTATTTTTTTTTTCATTTCTCTTCATTTTTCTTTCCAAAGAAAAGTTCTTCTTCTTCGTTTTCTCTCTTAAAAAAGAGTTTCGAAAGCAGTTCTGGATTTATCTGATTGATGGAAGTGAGGAAAGTTTGTGTCCAACTTTTCAACACCTCGTCTTTTTGTCTTCTTTTTTTTTTCTTTTTCCAAACAGATTTCTTGATGGAAAGAAGGGTTCAAAGTTTGTGTCAGGACAGATAGAGAGAAGAGGCTGACACAAACTTATCAGGGATTGGAAAGAAATTTCCTCCTTCCTGTCCAACTTTTCAACACTTCATCTATTTTCCCTCTTTTATGTTTTTCTTGAAGTTAAAATGATCGAAGTTTGTGTCAGGACAGAGAGAGGAAACTGCCACAAACTTTTTGGGGAACGGAAAAAAATTTCCGTCTTCTTGGAACCCTTCATCTTTTTCACTGCTTCTTTGTTTTCCATACCGAGTTTCTTGAATTTGAACTGATCAAAGTTTGTGTCAGGACAGAGAGAAGAGACTGCCACAAACTTCTTAGTAGGGGATCGGAAAAAAATTTCCTCCTTCCTGTCCAACTTTTCAACACTTCATCTTTTTTCCTTCTTTTATGTTTTTCTTGAAGTCAAAATGATCGAAGTTTGTGTCAGTACAGGGAGAAGAGGCTGCCACAAACTTCTTGGGAACGGATGAAAAAACTGTTCCAGAACCCCTTCAAATCCACGTGTATTTTTGTGATTTTGAGTCGAAGTGGTCAAATAAAAGTTTGTGTCAGGACAGAGAGAGAAAAGACTGCCACAAACTTTTTGAGGATCGGAAAGTAAATTTCCTTCTTCTTGGAACCCTTCATCTTTTTCATTTCTTCTTTGTTTTCTTGAATTTGAAGTGGTCAAAGTTTGTGTCAGGACAGAGAGCAGAGGCTGCCACAAACTTCTTGGGGAAGAGCAGAAAAAAACGGTTCCTAAGAACCCCCTCCAGAACCCTTCTTCTTTTTTGTTTTCCATAGTTTCTTGAATTTGAAGTGATCAAAGTTTGTGTAAGGACAGAGAGACTGCCACAAACTTTTCAGGAATGAAAAAACGGTTGCTAAGCACCCCCGCCAGGATTATGTAATGGTCGGCTGAGAGCCGGACGTACCGCAGCTATGGAAGGCTTCTTTTCATCGCCTACTGGGGGGTGCGTGACGTCGGCGCCCAGGAAGATGACTGGCTCTCGGAACACTCCAGGACTGAGTGTGAAGAAATCACAGGCTCACATGCCTTAACTACTACGTATATAATATTAACTGTTACTGTAGTCTCTAAGTCAGTCTAGCATACTCAAATTGGCCAAAATTCACCTATTTTTGTATAATTAGCTTGCAATAATTTTACGAATCAGGCTTTTGGAACACTCCAGGACTGAGTGTGAAGAAATCACAGGCTCACATGCCTTAACTACTAAACGTATTAAAGTCTACTGTAGTCTCTAAATTCTAGTTTTGGCCATACTCAAAATGGCCAAAATTCACCCTTTCTTGTCATTTACTTTTATAATGTTACATAATCTGCAAGAATTTCATGAATCAGGAAGATGACTGGCTTTTGGAACACTCCAGGACTGAGTGTGAAGAAATCACAGGCTCACATGCCTTAACTACTACTATAGTTACTGTTACTGTAGTCTCTAACATACTCAAAATGGCCAAAATTTGCACACAGCCCACTACATCACATGAGATGACAGTTTTACATAAAAAATTGAAATTTGGTAAGCTGACCCAAAACCTTTGACCTGTAGGTGATACGTTAGTTAACATATAAGCTTTGACCTGTAGGTAGGTTGTACTGAGTAAGTTTTATAAAAGTTAACCAGTAGGTTTTGAACTTCACGCATAAACTTTGACCTGTAGCTGTCTTGTAAATTTTTAACTTGAAATATAAACTTTGACCTACAAACTTTAACCTGTAGGTTGTTTGTAAGTTCTTAACTTGACCTTAACCTGACCTATAAACTTTGACTCTAAGTTTTTAGCCGACCTATGAACTTTAACCTGAAGGTTGTTTGTAAATTTTTAAATTGACCTTAACTTGACTTATGAACGTCGACTTGTAGGCTTTTTTTGTAATTTTAAGGTTGACCTGTGAACTTTGACCAGTAGGTCATTTGCCTTTTATTAAAAGTTGACCTATGAAGTTTGACCTGTAGGTTGTTGTCTCACCGTATGTGCGGGACGAGGATGTTGTTGACTCCGCCCAGTTTGACGTTGATCTTGAGGCACAGGTTGGACAGGGTTTGGGGCGAGGTCTTGATCACGTTCTTCACCTGCACACACTGCGTAGCCACCCCCAACATGGTGTCTCCCACACGCTTTACCTCCGCTGTAACAACCAATCAGACATGTCAGACCTGCACACACCCCCAACATGGTGTCTCCTACACGCTTTACCTCCGCTGTGAAACAAGGCTTCAGACATTTCAGACATGTAGGAAGTATATGTGCAATCGTTGGTTTCCCGAATTCCCTCAGACACACAAACCTACAGTTCAGCAAACCAAAACAATACCTCTGTACCTGGAAAAAAGGTTGTGAGTCAAATCTTTTAACTCAAGTTTTATTTTATGTGTACAGAAAGGTTTGTGTGGCCTAAGTCTGGTCTCACAACTCCTAAACTTCAGTCAACTGGTTGGGGGAAGGTTCCGAATGTGTGACAGGGGCTTGACAGGAGAGAGGACTTGTTGGTGAAGGTTAGACATCCAGGTAATAAGATACACCAAAAACTGTTTAACTCAAGCAACTGGATATGATTTTGGAAATGGTCAATCTATCTCCTAGTGATGGACCTGGTTAGAGTTGTTGTCTTAGAATCTAAAGGTTCTGGGTTCGAATCCATTCAGATAAGACTCCTTACCATAGACAGGTGTCTTGCCGGGCAGGACGACCAGGATGAGCTGCAGACCCTGGAAGGTGTTCTTCAGGTACTGGAACATTTTCTCCACCTGGTCCGCGCCGGTCGCGTACTTACAGAAGCACGGCTGGCCCACGATCGGCATGCCTGCGTCGTTCGAGATCCTCTGCAGCTGCTGGGTGAAGTTTCTAACAAACAGAAGGAGTTTAAGGTTAGAGAAACTTTCCCGCTCTTCCCGCAACTTCACACACACTCTCACACTGATCAATCATCAATTCAAGACTTTAGCTCTTGAGTAAATTTCTAAGAGACAAAAGTAGTTAACATGTATGAACTATGAAGGTTACTCATCCAGGAATATATCTTCTATGAATAGATCTGAACTGACTTGATACAAGGTTTTTAGGCATTTTGAGATCATTTCCAGTGATCTTCGTCAGTGATAGATAAGAAAATGTTAATATTCCAGGAATAAAAGCAACAGAAAGCCTATACTATAGCAGAGGAAACTGGAGAGACAAGATATGAGATAACCTTTTTCAGAGATCTTTCTGGGACCTTTGACCAAAATTCCTGTCAGTGTGCAAGACATGACTAGCATTTTAAAATAACTACAGAAATACAAGCATCATTCATAGCTTTGGAACAATGACAGTGCTAAGACGAAATCCAACAATTACTGGTTTTGACTTCTCTAGAATCATAGAAACAAAGCAAACACACAGACACACTGAAAAAAAACTGTACACGGTGGTAGAATATGATAGCTTCTTACCGTAGAGCCTGCTCGCTACATTGCCTCTGCAGTGCGAAGCAGGCCATGGCCCAGACGCGGATCTCTATGCCCGTGTGGAACTGTTTCCCACGCATGTCCCACACACCCTGGTTTGGCACCACGGTGGCTCGGGTCTAAAAATCACAAGGACCATACGGTCAGCTTTTCATTCACGTGTCTTAGGCCCCAGGTTCACTAAGATAAAATTGTTCAGATTGAGCTATATAGATTGGCTACCAGCTTGGCAACAGATTTTGATCCAGTCAACTTCACCTAAGTGGGAATGCTGCCTATAGGCCAATCCAGCTCGGCTTGAGATGAAGCCAGTCATCGTAGATTAAGCCAAACTAGGCCAGATAGGGACAGTTCCCACATGGGGTAAAGTTCAATGGATAGAAGCCAGTCACCAATCTTTTTTGCACGATCCAGACAATTTTATCTTGATCGAAATGGGGCCTCTCTCAACTAGATGTCAAAGCAAGTTAAATGACTGGAAAGACTATGATAATCTAAGCAACAATACATCTCGAAATCAAAAATCTGACAGTTACAGGCAATGCAAAAGCAACCAAATGTAGAAGCTAGCATGTTGAATTTTGGTGTAATACCTGGAGCTTTCTATGGCTTCAGAAAGAGTAATGAGTAACTGTTTTTTTTTTTCAGGCAAAATAAAAATGTTGTGTTTTACCAATTTCAGTACCAAACTCTTGTATCACAATTTGGATAATGTCGTCCACACTTTCATAAATAAATAGAATGGCGTATTCTGATCTATCAATACTAGCTATTACTGAAACTTGTTTAACTGGAGAATGGGAAAATTTGACAAAGAAAACTAGAATTAAAATCTATTTCACTACAAAACAGAACATTTTCATTGTTAGTTACTAGTAGTACTTCTATTTTTTCATTTTTAATTCATTAGTAAGACATAAAATATAATGTATTTTGATTAACAAATACTGTTTTCTAATGTTTCTCAGAACTATGAGTCACACCAAACTCTGTCTTAGTCAAAACTCTCAAAGCAAACTATGGCAAACATTATCTTAGCCTTCGGCGAGATCAATTCAACTGGTCGCATAACAGACACAACTCAGGTGATTTTGGACAACCCGGAAGAGAAAAAATCTCACGGTACAAAGTGAAGAAAAATACAAGGCAAGTACCTACAGAAACCAGAAAAAAATGACTCTAATCGAGATTAAACAACTTTGGTGTACAATGTGTAGAAAGTGGTCAGTTTGAACTGCAAATGGATACCTTAGGCCCCCTACCCTTTAATTTCTTTGCATATTTTAGAAAAACCTGATGCCAGACTTTGCTCTATAATACTCAAAATTCAGTCTTGATAATTGCAGACGTCAAAGTATTTTGGCCATGCAAAACAGGGCAATCTAAGCGCTGTGATTTTACTCAGCGAAAAAACAAGAGCAGGGCTCGAAATACTGGGTGCATGTGCACCTTAGTGCACCCAAATTTGGCGCCATGCACCCGATTTTTTCTGTGGGTGCACCAGTGCACCCAAATTTTTAATTGAACAACATCCAAGTGTCATAAAAATGATACATGTAAAATCATTGTTATAGTACTTTTCTTTAGAAATGAAACAATTAGTTTCATTTTACTTACTTTAGCTTATATGGTGCACCCAAAAAACTTTTTCTTGTGCACCCAATTTCGTAGGTCACCTATTCCCAAAACTGAATTTCAATTTTACTTACTTTATTTTATATGGTGCATCCAAAAAACTTCTTGTGCAACCAATTTTTCAGGTGACCTATTCCCAAAAATGAATTTGATTTATTTACAGTATATGGTCAGACAGGAGTCTAAATCCCTCTTGCTATAAAATTGCAACATGACCTGAATAAAACAAGTTGGATGCACTAGTGCACCTATTCCCAAAACTGAATTTGTTTTATTTTAGGGTCACATTCATATACAGTATATGGTCAGACAGGAGTCTAAATCCTGCAACATGACCTGAATAAAACAAGTTGGATGCACTAGTGCACCTATTCCCAAAAATGACTTTCGAGCCTGAAATTTTACTTACTTTAGCTCATATGGTGCACCCAAAAAACTTCTTGTGCACCCAATTTAAAATGACTTTCGAGCCCTGGTGAAAAAACAAGAAGAAAGAGAGCAGGTCGAGAATAAATAAAAGCCTTGTAGAGTCTGTTACCCCCAGCTGAACTGATCTGGCGTGAATATGCTTTACATTGTTTACCCGTCCTCCATACTGGAGCATGGGAGGGTCGAGCACGCGCCCTTCCACCTCCGCCATGTCATTAGAGATGCTGATCCCGAAGTCTCGGACGTAGGGGTCCGCGTTGAAGTTAGCGCGCTGCATCTGTGGGGAAGGAAACAACACTTTTATTCACATCTATCTCATGGCTTTTTGCATCTTTTCATCATGACAAATTGTTTGTGGTGGGTTTCGTTTTTGCACTGTATCTGTAGAAAAGGAGTGATGTTTTCCATGAGTTTGATTATCAAACAAACAGGACTAAAATACCACCTGTGTATACTGGTAAAATATGAACCTGTCTGGGTTTTTTCTGATGCCTATATGTACCTCCACCTGTCCATCATGTACTGTTTTTTTTATACAAATGTAGGTGTATGTAGGACTCGTGTACATGTATGTTGTGTTAAGCTGAATGGTAATGTAAGTTTAATGTATAATTATAGGCACTTCCCTTTTAATTAGACTTCACAATAGAATATGAGCTCAAATTCAAATACAAAATACTTTAAGTCCAAGCTAGAATAGGTAAGGACTACATGTAGATCAGGTACAGATACTTATACAATGTATTGTCAGTAGGTAACTTCAGGAAATACAGAATATCAAACTTTAGGGTGTTACTTAAAACGTACCAGTCTGATAATCTCTCGTTCCCTGTCCGGAGCTGACCTTGCAGTGGCCTGAAGGTCAAACAAACAAACAAACAAACATCAACAACACTCTTCTCACACTGTTACCATGGCAACAGCCTGGCCAATCAGAGGCCTGCTACAGATCATGTAACTGATGCATGGACAAGCCTATTGCAAGAAAAACATTTATTGAGCAGTAGCTTGTTCCCTTTTTAAAACTAAGAGAGGAAAATCATTGCATTTCTATAATTGTTTGTTGAAGCTGTTAGCTTAAAACAAAAAGGCTTGCCTTTGTATCTAACATAAAACGATTTTAAGCCTTTTCTTAACAGTACTACCTACATGTATGAACTGCAAGCCTCATATCATTAGTAGCAAGTACTAGTTGCTGTTTTGTTAATGCACACACAAGCCTGGAGTGGACACCATGCGACACACATACCACAGTGACATGCTTTGCACTGATCTAGCAGTACCCAAGTAAGTTGGTTCTACACCTGGCATCACTGAACAGCTCTCTCAGACTTAGAGAAACAGCACTATAGGAAGTGCATGTTATACTGCAAGTTGATATCTTTATCCAATGTTTTATACATTGAATCTATGCATACATCTATCTAGGTTTCAGATTGAAGTTGAATGAGAAAGTTTGTCAAAATCTTTCGAATGAAGATATTTTACTACTACATGTAGGTTACAATGGGTGATTTTTTTTCTTATACACCCTACACTTGCTTTTAAAAAGTCAAATATGTACCATGTTTTGGAACTTCATTTCTTTCTTTTCTTTTTCAAAATTTAACGGCCTGAAAAAAACGCAATGTTTTCATAATTGCAGCTTTTCCAAACATTAAAATCTTCGTATTTTTGTTTGATGCAGCTTTGTAGAGCCAGACTTTCCTTACTTCTTAGACAAGCCAAGTGCAACAATGAAAAAATAAAGCCAAGAAAAATGTAAGCAGAATTTTTTTGCAGGAGGGTATACGGAAAACACAGTCCAGGCCTCCTGTTTTTGCAGAGGGTATACGGAAAACACAATCCAGGCCTTGCAAGACGGAAGCAGAATTTTTTTCAGGAGGGTATATGGAAAACAAAGTCCAGGCCTCCTGTTTTTGCAGAGGGGTATGCGGAAAACACAGTCCAGGCCTTGCAGTGATGACACGGGTAGAGGACAACTTATTTGAGAAACCTTGATCATGGTGGACGTCTGCATGTCCGTCAGCTTCTTGATGCAACGCTGGCCCGCCACGATGTTGCACACCTGGGAGGGCAAAGGTCAAGGGTTAAAGTTAGGTCATAGGTTAAAGTTGGAGGTCAAAGGTTTAAGTTATATCAGCAGTGATATAAAATTGGTATTTTTCAAGTCCAAAATTTACATTTTACTACAGTTTCTACCTTGATTGAAGAGACAACAGACAATACTAAAAAATGGCTGGCTGGAAACCTGTGTTTACTGATATCATGATATTTTCTGACAAGTTTGTTGGGCCATGGACGTCTTGTAAACATATAGTGTTACGTCCTTGCCAGTTTGCTTTGGGAGAAGACTAATTATGCTGGCTTAGGAGAAAATAATTTGCCAGGTGAGTTTGACAACTGTAGGGTACCATTTGTCCGCACAGTGAAAATGATGGCCCTTACCTCAAGTGGTAGGTAGGTGTGTTTTTGTTCCTGTCCCACCTGTAGGCACGGCAGGTGAGGAAATCTTGGAGGGAAAACAAATATCAGTTACATTTCGAGAAAACAACACTTTAATACATGCTTCAAAACCTCTGCCAAGATAGCATATTATTACAGCTACAGTTTACATTATGATCACCCAAGGGCACTGCAGCATGCACACATTATCCAAATATTCCATATAGTAAACATAGAGAATTAAAAAATTTTAGGAGAAAACTCACTCCAGTCTCCTCTTGTGCCTCTCCAGGAAGTATTTAGCGACGGTGCACTCCACAGTTCTCCCATCCTCCAACTGTAGAGGGAACCTGAGATACAAAAACAAGTTATGAAAAATTTAACAGTATTTGCTTAAAGGTAAATGTTTGATTGATACAGGGCCTCATAAGGAAGGGTTTGACCTATGGCACTTAGATAGTTGCTGATAGGACGTACGTTTGTGTCTGCGCTGGTCTGCGAGTGACGTTACAGACGCGGTACTTTCTCTTCATCTGTCCACAGTGGGTGATCTCAACTTTCAGCCCTGAAATACAGAAAACATTAGCATTAACAATCAAAAGTTGTCTTTAAATATACTGTATTTAAACCTCAACTGCAGTTTCCAATATAGGGCTGTTCTTCTTGCATAGTCCTTCAAAGTTGAAGATGACTAGGGGCAGTGCTGCACATAATCCAAATTTTCAAATGGTAAACATTAGTCTAAATGGTTAACAATTCCTAGATCCTGTTCTTGAAACTGACCCCCAAAAAATCATGGTTTGGGGGTAAGTCAGACTGTTGATTGCTTGGTAAAAGGTTGTGAATAGGTGAAATTTGACCAAACTGTTTACATGTAGCTGTTAACACAAGTTAATTGTCAGATTGTGGACTGGTAGTCCAATATTCTGGTTGAGTTGAGTGCCCCACCACTACGTCATGTTTTTTGTTTGTGTGTACGATCAATAAAAAAAATATATTCTGCTTTGATGGTAGATAAAAAAACTCAAGCTGTTGAAAAATCATCATCTCATGGGAGGTCATGACCCCTGACCTTTGATCTCCTTGGTGAACTTGACCCTTTGTGAGTCGGTGAGAGGTCGTCGCTGGTCGTGGATGTCTCTCACGTCCAGAACCTCACACATGAACTCTATCACAGGCTGGGCCTTGTAGAACGCAGTCGCAGAAACTGGAACATACAAGCAACATTTTCTACAACACTGCATCATGCATCATCTACATGTAGGGGGAACAATCTGAAATCTTGACCCTCTAGAACAGTAATTCCAGCATTTTGAGGGGCCAATTTTGCTGGTAGACTAAGCTTTGTTTAATGACATTTGTGTATTTTTTACACACCGATTTTTGTCCATCAAAGATGACAGATTGGGCAAAATTTTTGTTTAAAATACTCTCAACTGATGGAAAAGATGGACACTGGCACTACTGACTAGCACTAAAAAAACATTGAAACCTGAGAAAAAAACTGTATGGCACCATATTATAACACATCAATCAATCAAATAATCAGACTTTATTGCACAACAATTGTCACAGGTACAGTGTATGGCAAGAGGTTCAACATATCAAACTGATATCTACTCTAACATCTATCTAATTCTTAGGTAGGCATCCTTCCAATGTACTAATGCTTAAGAATTCTATACATCAAAGAGAGAACTCCTGAAGCTTACCATCAATGTTGAGCATCATTTTCCACTGGGAGGGTCTGACGCTCTGGTGGAAGCCGAACCACACCTCACGCCCCCCACCCAGGGGGTGACTGTACCCCTCGGGGGACGAGAAGAAAGATCTCCCCACAGGGGTGTACCTGAGAGATGAAAAATTGACATATTGTTTTTGGTATGTCTGTGTTTCTGCATTGCCCCTAAGTTATGTTGTAAGGCCATGTTGATTTGATTATATGGATGACATCCCCCGGGAACCCCAAAACTGATGCGCGCGTGCGAATAAAAAAAAAGTTTTGCAAAAAAAAGTTGTTTTCATTATGAAATCTACGTGGTCATGAGGGTTGAACAAATGGGACAGAATATGGTTTGGCGAATAATCTAGTCTTCAAGTTCATTTCTTTACAATTTCGTCTTTTTTCGTTTGATTTTGGCATTCTACGACATTGGTATAGTTTTTACTTATTTTTTTGTAACTTACGGTATATTTTTGCTTATTTTGCAACCGTTTTGTACGATTTACAGTATGGTTGAAAACTTTTTTTTTTGGAAACGGCCGAAAATCCATGCGCGCGCGGATGTCATCCATATAATCAAATCAACATGGCCTAATGGATATGGTTGGGTTCAGTTTATCCCAGAGGGTATATCCGGTAGCACTAACCATTTTACAGGTGTTTTTGTTACATGACCTCCTTGACAGCTGTGTTTTCCCCTTGCACAATATTGAAGGAGATTGCAAAATGACATTGCAAACAGGTTACAGTGTTATCGGTAGTTGTCTGGGAGGCCTTTTTTTCTTTACTTGAGATTTTCAACACCTCCTCCAGGAAATAAATAGATGAATAAATGTGAAAATCTTACGTCATGGAAGGCAGATGTCTCATGACCACGTCCAGTGCCTGGATGGCCTCGAACGGCACGGTGGCGAGTCTTCCCTCCAAAGCCTGCTCCAGCGCGTACAGGCTAACCTTCCCCACCCACTTCATTGACACTTTGAAGTGTCGGTCCTTCCCTCCATCTCCTGGTAACGTCACATCTAGCTCCACCTAAAAACAACAATAGTGAATGTACATCCTTGATATCTATACATGTACATCTATCCAGGGCGTACAGGCTAACCTTTCCCACCCACTTCATCAACACTTTGAAGTGTCGGTCCTTCCCTCCGGCTTGAGTTGTACAGTCAAAAATTTGGTCCAATTACATGTGTTTCAAGAAGGCTAGATGGTAAACATTTCTACAGTTGCTTGCAAATGCTATCCTTCTAAGCATACAAGAAGTTACTATTTTGGGCTTATACCTATACATGTACATGAAACAAGCACAAATACAGTAACTACTTCATTTTCTCTCCAACTGTGAAATAAAATCACTGCAAAAATAACTTAATTTGCATGAACTGTAGTTAGTTTTTTGTGTGTACCTTTTCTGTTCCCACAGGCAGCGGGTCCCTGGTGTACAGGTTCTTACGTCCATCAAACACAGGACGGAGGTCCCCAAAGATGCGGTTGGCATACGCTTGGGCCATTTTCTCTATGATCTCTCTGTGGAAAAAGTACAAACAAGTTAGAGAAGTTATAGTTTTGTAGCCTCTACCAGGCTTTAGGATTCGTATACACAGACAAGTCCAAAATACAGGAGTCTACCAGGCTTCAGAAGTGGCAAGGAATTGGCCAAATAAACAGATAACATGCCAGGGGAGTTGGTCCGTGCTAAGAGAACAGTTTACTGGCATGTTATCTGTTTATTTGGCCAGTTTAAACTCTTTTCCAGCTGCTTCCCAAAGTTTGCAAGACTCCCATAGAGTCGATGCTATCATTTTTAGCTTCTCTGTGTTCCAAAATACACAATAAGGCACACTGTACATGTACAAGTTTGCTGGTTCTACTAGCAAAATAAACAAAGACACGTGTCTTACCTGTTGACTCTGCGTGGACATTTATCCGGTATAATACTGATGTCGTAGTGGTGCAGGTCTCCCTTCGGCATGGACACTTTGAAGTGGTTGGCCCTCAGGTTGATTCTCCGTCCCACCGTCCCGATGTCTGGTCGTCGGGGGCAACAGAACCTGTCCAACGCCACCGGCGGGGGCATGCCCAGGGGGGGACCGATGGGTGGGGGGCCAACTGGGGAACAAGGGGTAAAGGTAAAGGGTTCAGTTGTATGTTAGAGAGTAAAAGTGTATTTTCTATGTTTCTGTACAATGTTCTAGCCTGTCTTTCCAGATCATTTGACAGAATTTTGCCCAATCCATCATCTTTGAAGGACAAAAATCGACATGTAAACTCACAGTAAAGACATGGAAAGAGACGTCATTAAACTAACTCTTAAGCTTAGTCTAGTCGCCTTTCAAAATGCAGGAAATAACATTTCAGAGGATCAAGATTTCAAAATTCTCCCTAGAGGATCGTTATGCCTCTAGCACTCAACTTGTTACATCAAACATATTGTAACACATTTAAGTATGAACGTTTATATTTCATGTACTTTTAAAGGTTTGCCATTAATATGAGCCAGAGGCTAGTTGGGTAACTTAGGCTGTACATTATCTTGTTTGTCAGCTAAACAAATAAATAAATAAAGACTTACTTGGGTCCCCAGGTGGCCGTAGTGGAGGCATACCAGGCAATGCCATCCTGAAGACTTGTGTGTGCTACCACTGTCTACTCCAACTCTCAACTAGGGCTTCTCAATGTTGGACCCCTACAGAACAGAGAAACAAGGAAAAACTATCTATCTAAATTCTGTATACCCGGTATAATATCTATCTAAATTCTGTATACCCGGTATAATTGCATTTTGGCCTATTACACACCAGCTTCGCAGGCACACAGCGCAGAGGCAGCTGGCTATATTACACCGAACAACTTGTTTTACCTAACCTTACCTAGATATAACACCAATCATTGTTTAAGGCTATCTACGTAGTACTACGTAGATAGCTTAAATTAGCACCTAGCTTCACTTAGGGACATCCTCTTGGGAAATAAAGCGAGGTCCCTTGTTTGAGGGGAGCCATACCTTGAGGACATTAAGTTACAGATTCCAGCATTCTCGTTGAAACAAATTATATCCTGGTGTGAGTGGATCAAACCTTACAAGTTACAGTCTGGTTTGAAGCTTTGCCTATTGTACAAAACTGGTGTGTTATGCAAAACTAACAAACAAACAAACAAACCAGTCACACATCACGATACATGCGTATATACTACATCATCTACATGTACATATGAAGGTAACCACTGAAGAGTCTAAAATCTTAGAAAGATAGTGTTGGCATTCAATTTGCATTTGTACACATTTTATTTCTCTTTTAAAGGAAAAAGTGAACAAGCAAACCTATGGAAACTGTGTAAATTTGCCCAAATCCCACAAAAACAACAAAATATTCAAAGCAATAAAATATCAGAATAACAAAATGCCAACAAGACATTTTTCTATTGTAAACAGTCTGTCCTTTGTATAATTTATGCATCTGTTTAAATATTCAAGAAAACACAACCACTTTGTTATGATAATTGTTTATACCCAAATGCTTCAAAATTTTTTGAATAGTTGGCTTCAATTTTGGGAGAATAATGTTCGACAATCTTCTCAAAATCACTGAGATAAGAACAGGAGAAAGGGTAAAATAATCCATGGAAAATTTACGATCATACGACCGCGTTTGGCTGTGAGTGGGTGGGCTTCGTATAACCTTAATTTTACAAGAAATTTCTGAGGAAAAAAAAACAACTACCAGCCAAATTTATCCACGTAAAACCACGTAACATGTCCACTAGAAAGTCAGCTACAAATTCACGGTACAAAGTTTGCGTATTGTAACGTTACAAGCTGAATTTGAAGACAAAAATCGTCTGAAAATAACATGCCCCCCCCCCCTGATCTGAATGCATTTTTGAAAGTCAAGCGACGACTACCTCTCTTAGATTCCAAATAAAACCGCCTAAACAAGGTTTAGAGGTGAAACAATGCTATCACAGGCCGCAAAAAGACATTATTTCTTACCTGGGAGTGTTTTCGGAAGACAAAATCCCGGAGAAAAGGTGAAATTTGTGATAAAAAACTGAGGAAAAAGGAGGCAGCGGTGGACCCTACCCCGCACAGCCCTCCCCCATTTACGATATTTACCCGGCATGCACCGCGCGCCTCCCAGGGGAATACAAAGGGCTCGGCTGTCTCCAAGCAGATGTTGGGTGGAAAATTGTGACGACTTGTAATGCCTACTTTCAAAGATTGTAATGCTCATAATCAGTTATTTACATACAGATTTTTTCTAGATTGGTTTAAAATACTGCCTTATTAATAAAATATGACTAATTTCATTGACAATCATCTGACACAACGTGCTTTGCACTGGGCAGAAATCAATTTTATTTCGGTATGATACTAACATTACACTGGCTATCTTGTACAGTTGTATAACAGCTAGAATTATGCATGTCTTTACAATGTTGTCTTTGTAACAATTTGCAAGAACACACTCATTTATAAATCATACCAATCGCACAGTGGTGATCAGAAGATCACAAGCAAACAATGCCATCAAGTAATCTAAATCTAAAGTATTCTAAAGAAATGTATTCTTCAACCATTTCTTTTTTACATTATAGTGATCAATGAAAAAGTGGCTTTGTATGAAGAGTTCAAGCCACCAGGGAAATACACTTCCATACAAAAGTCAGGAAAAAGTATTGCAACAGTATATTTTGAGTGTTAAATGTAAAGTGTTCATGTATTGTACAGTACAGTACATTCAACTTTAACAATAGGTTAATTCACAGTTTGAAGTGTGCATACTAGTACACAGTGAACTACAATGTACATGTTACATGTAGCTTTCAGCCTTAGGCATAACACTTTTAATCTAGTTGTCTTTAAGAAATCAAACCTGTAACCACATATATACTAGCAGTATGTATTTACTGCGAAAACAATTATATCTTTACATGTAGCTTGAACAAAACCACAATTGAAAAACACTATTTTTCAGTCTTAAATATGATTTGCCGTCTACACTAAATTATTGAATAATTTTTCATGTAGTAGTTTCCATGGATGTCAGAGTTGTTGCCGGTAGTTTACTGCAAAAACAAGTATCTCTTTATCTTGAGCAAAACCATAATTGCAAAAGACTATTTTTCAGTCTTAGATATGATTTACCGTCTATACTATATTCTTGAATAATTTTTGATAAAGTAGTTTCCATGGCTGGTAGAGTTGTTGCCGTTTTAATAGTTTACTGCAAAAACAAGTATCTCTTTATCTTGAACAAAACCATAATTGCAAAAGACTATTTTTCAGTCTTCTATACTATTCTTGAATAATTTTTCACAAAGCGGTTTCCATGGCTGTTAGAGTTGTTGCAGTTGCTTTACTGCAAAAACAAGTGTCTCTTTACCTGGAACAAAACCACAATAGCAAAAGACTATTTTTCAGTCTTCTATACTAAATTCTTAAATAATTTTTCACATAGTGGTTGCCATGGCTGTTAGAGTTGTTGCCGTTGGTTTGCAGGAGTTTGTTGTTTTACATGAACATGTCATCAAAACCTGGAGGTGGGAGGTGATCAGGATCGGGCCTGAAAAAAAAAACACAACAAAATTAAAACAAAAAGACATATTGCCCAATGACAAATGCTTTCCATAAATGTGTATATTAGACAAGATAGGCAAGTGCCACTACACTACATTTGAAATGAAGAGTTCTAGACAAAATCTATTTATGTTCACCTTCGCAAAAGGAAAACTTATTGTTTTTGCTCAGTTTCTTCTTCCTCTTCTTCTTCTTCTTTTTCTGCTCCAGACAAATAGGGTCAATGACCTGAACCAGATGTCTGTCACCATTGTAACTAGTGTTACATCATGTTGCAATTTTATGGTAGGAGGAATTTAGACTTCGAATTCTGTCACCATATATATGAATTTGTTTGAGTAAGAATTATCAGTGCAGACCATATGCGAAGGTAAACGTTATGCATTTGCATCTTTCTGGTTTGGCTAAAAACCAAATCAAGTAAAAGTAATCAATGTACAGTAATTAAAACACAGCCCACTATGACGGTACACACTCACCCCCTCATGGCACCCCCTGTGACAGGACCTATGGGGTCAAACCTGGCGCCTGGAGGGACTGAACCCCTACAGAAACAACACAGGAAAAGTTGGGGTGAAAGTCAGTGAAGTAATAAACAGACAACATAATGAGTGTTACAGGAAGCAAGATACAGTAGCTGGTAGGATCCCCCTTCAAATCTTTGTAACTTAGTATAGTCCATCATAAATATGAAACATGGTATGCTACAAAGAACTGTGTCAGTAATGTAATGTAATGTACATGTAATAAGACTAAAATGATGTAAATGATTATAATACTAACACACTGGTCTGTAGTCTAACTATAACACAATGCTGGAATACAATTCAAGGTTTAGCTGCATCAACTGTGATTCCATGCATGTGATTCCACAAGATACGAGATGGTGTCAGAAGTGGGATTCTCTTGAGTTAGAGGAAACAAGCTCTTGTGTGTATGGTATCTTGTTGTCCCCTGGCAATGAGAGATTGTGTAACACAGGCTATCTGAGGCTTTATGGGTCCTTACCTGGGCACCATCCCAGGGATCCCAGCTGAAGGGTTGAGGGGCCCTCGTGGATAACCTGATCTCATTGGGTCCACTAACATCCCTCCTCCCATTCCTCCACTGGAGAACAGTTCACACAAGGTTAGTGTTAATTTAGAGTAGCTGTAGATAGTTTAAGATTTGTTGGTACAGTCTATAGATCAGATTCTAAATTTCTGTAGATAAAGATGAGATGTCAATTTAAAATCATTGCATAAGGATATCTCAATGGGAAATGTCACAAAAATATCAGTCTACCTGAAAGGGTCTAGGTCTCCAGTGCCAACACTAGGGTATGGTCTGGACGGCTCACCCCTGGAAAAAAAAATTGTTTTCAATACCTTATGGGAGATACATGTAAATACAAAGGTGGTTGTTCACATGTATGTTGATGGTGTTCAGCACCAAGGACAGATCTGTTAGCATGTCTGGAGATGGTGTTCAGCACCAAGGACAGATCTGTTAACATGTCTGGAGATGGTGTTCAGCACCAAGGACAGATCTGTTAACATGTCTGGAGATGGTGTTCAGCACCAAGGACAGATCTGTTAACATGTCTGGAGATAGTGTTCAGCACCAAGGACAGATCTGTTAACATGTCTGGAGATGGTGTTCAGCACCAAGGACAGATCTGTTAACATGTCTGGAGATGGTGTTCAGCACCAAGGACAGGTCTGTTAACATGTCTGGAGATGGTGTTCAGCACCAAGGACAGGTTCAGTTTGTGTGCCAATATACATTGTACATGAACACTAGATAGTGCTTTAACTTTCATTGTGCTGCCTTATAACCAGTATAATTATGATGCCAAATGGCTAGCTTAGAAGCCTGAAGATTAAACAACCATCTATATAAGCTAACCATTCAGAATTGCCCTGTCTGTATGGATCTCTCAGTCTTTTGAGTGGGCCAAGGACACTTGTTTGTTCACTTGCTTCTATGGAGATGGTGTTCAGCACCAAGGACAGATGCATTTGTGTGTGGATGAACACATGAACACTACAAATTTGCTACCAATTGGCTATCTTAGTAGGCTAAAAGGCTTACCATTCAGGGTTGCCCTGTCTGTACGGATCTCTCGGTCTTCTGGGCGGGCCAATCCGCAGTGGATCATGATCTGGATCGTCGGCCAGTCGCGGCGCTCTCTGTGATCTGCTGGGTTTGTCCTCCTTTCTCTCCTCACTGTTGGTCGCAGCGTTGGACGATCTGTTCGCCGGTTTGAACTCTTCCACGATTCCCGACCGGAACGCTGCTTCCAGGGTTTCTATGTTCTTGTAAACACTACGAGACAGAATTGAATAGCAGTTAACAGACATGTTGATAAATGGTAGACATCCAAGTAATGAGATACTCAAGCAACTGGATATGTTTTGAAAACTGTCAAAATTACAAAATAGTCAGGAGACAGTTTCACACAAAGATTTACAAACAGTATAACTGATTAAGCTGCTATGGATGGGAGTCCATATTTTTGTCATAGAACCATCATTGACCATATACATTGTACTAAAAATATGGTCCAAAAATAAGGAGTTCTCTAACCTGTCAAAGTCCTGAAGGTCAGTTTTGTTGATGTACTCCTTCACATCCAGAGTCAAACTGCCAACTTTTTCATCTTTAACTCTCTGGAAGAAGAAAAGCCAAGGCCATTAAGATATTCATATTGTATTGAGTTTAATTGAAGACAAGTAGTCTGCTAGATATACTTCATGTGTCTTACAATACAAGAGTTCTGAAGCTTTTAAGAGGTAGTTGGTCATTAGTTCAATCTCTGACCAAGTTATACCAAAGACTTTTAAAATGCTTCAGTTACAAAATACAAGTGGGAGTTACACACACCACTACCAGTGGACTAGCCCCCTTGCACAATTGTGTGGCCCAAGAGCTACAGAAACAGAGATGGGCAAGGAGTCCTCCCTACCATAACATGCACCAGCAGACTGTCCTCCATGCGTATGGCTTTCATCAGATAGTTCTCCTCCGTGTCACTAGGCTGATATCTGAGCGCGTACACGTCCTGTGTGCTGTTCCACCCGCGCGGTAACAGCTCCGACTTCTTAGCTTTGTTTTTGGCTGTCACTGGAGCCTTTAAGAAAAAGAAAGAAAAATTATATATTTTTATATTATTTTTCATACATTTCTGACATTTGTAGACCATTGTTATTCATTTTTTTTTCCTTTCAAGTTCAAACGTGAAAGGAAATAATGCATTGTTATTGTTATTGCCAAAACTCTCTTGATTCAGTACAATGTACATGTACAATATTTTCTATATCTAGTATATATGATGTCATGTCAGTGAGTGATTGAGGACTTTCATTATATTTGATCAAGACTAGCTATGCAAACGAATTAATGACAATACAGTCGTTCAAATTGAAATCAGGACATGCCACGTAGGTGAACAAACTTTTGGAAGAAAGCCAAGGCTTCCGTTTCTAGATCCTGCACCAAACTTTGGAAGGACCAAGGACAGTAAGTATGGGAGGGGGGCGGTGAGCTAGCAACTTTCGGCACAGTTCACCAACATTTTCTATGAGAAGAAAAACATGACATCACCTCGTCTCCTGTCCCCACACACTTGAACCCTGACTGGACCATCTCCCAGTGCAGGAAGCAGACCAGAGCGTCGTGCTCGCTTCTAACCTGCGCACAAACGCTGCTGTACAACAACTCCAAACCCGCTGCGACGGCCATGTTGTTGTTTTGATGTGACGTCACAACATTTTTTAAAAGTGAAAACTTACGTTTACGAATTATTATCAACAATTTAACGCATAAAAAAGCGTTTATGATGCAACAGTATGCTAAATTGTATAATAAAAAGGAAAATTATGACAGAAATACAAAAAAATGAAATGAAGTCAAAAGTTGAAAGGTTGAAGGTCATTATTTATATCCCGTCATACTTTGCGAACGCACATTTTCCAAGATGGCGGCCGAAACCTAAAAAAATCTGTTTTTACCTGGATACCTTTCTCGAAACTTCATATTTCTGTCTTAGTTTGTCATTTCTTCGCTTGTCCTGGCTCTCGAGGGAAGACAAGATGTCCCTCACGCCTAAGGAGCTGACGTGTCTCCTTAACGTGCTGTCTGAAGACGCCACACAGACGTCTTCGTTTGAGCAGTTGGCGGCGGCCTTCCACCACTACTTCAACAAACCCGACCACTACAAGATCGGCAGCACCTTGGTGCTTCTTCTGCAACAGGTCAGACATGTCTTAAAGAAACTGAGACAATTAAGACATCATAGATATTTTTGAATCTCTTGGCAATCTCTTTTAGAATCAGGTATAAGCGAATGATATCTAAAATCGTTAATCAAAATCACTTGTTATGCATAATTTGAAACATGATTTTTCCTGGATTAGTCCACTTTTGCCTAGGTGTGATTTTAGAACAGTCCGTTTTGCATATTCATGGTGGTTAGGTAGCAGTGAAGTATTCTGCATTTGCTCACAAATATTCCCTGCATGTGTTTTGCAAATTCTATTTTATAAGAAATTGGCAACTTGGCAGCTGCAAAGAACCGTTTCAAAGTTGCAAACCTAAAAAGCACAGCAAAACCTTAACCTTCCTTTTACCACGAAACTACATGTAAGTCCTTACAAAAATAAATTATATACATGTATTTACAGTACTTTTTTGTCTCCAACAGCATGACCTGCTCCCCTCCCCCACCCAGCGTCTGACTGCCATGTACCTGCTGTATGAGATGTACAAGACTGAACCTCTGGCTGCTAACCCCTTCGCACCTGTGTTAGATTAGAATATTATAACAGCTGTTACATACTGAACATACTGGTCCATTCTTCTTCTTTCATTTTGAGGCAGCTGCCTTCATCTAGCTGAAGATTCTGCTGCCTTTTTGTGGCTAATACAAGATGGGGTTCGCCAGGCCTCCATCCAGGATAGTCGTGTAAAGTGCCTTTCCCAAGAGCACAAGATCGGTGGCATGGCAGTGTTTGAACCCAGAACCTTTTGGTTCTGCCGTTACACCACAAGGTCATACCAATCTACTGATGTGCTCATTTACAGTATTTTTGTCCCACCAACAGCATGACCTGCTGCCCTCCCCCACCCAACGTCTGACAGCCATGTACCTGCTGTATGAGATGTATAAGACAGAACCCCTGGCAGCTAACCCCTTCGCACCTGTGTTCGCACACCTGCTCATCAACTCACCTGGTGACGAGAAGACAGCCACCGCGCTCCCGCCCATCTCTAACTCCGAGAGAGTTTTTTTGTCACAGGTGAGTGGGAAATTTGTTTTTGTTTGTTCCAACTATTGTTTATTTGTGAGAAAGTCAAATTGGCCCGCAGGCCACTTTTCATTGAAAAGCTTTTGGCTTTTGCAGTGAGAACACAATCCCTTAAAAGTTTATTTGATTTATTGAAATTGCAACAGTGCAATACACGTGGGACACCCTTAAAAGTTGAATCCTTTTTTAAGCTGGTGTGTTTTGCCAAAGGGCAGTTATACTGGCTATACAGATACAGATGCAGATACACCTACATCGGCCACAATAACATGATAGTGGCGAGAAGCAGTACTCAAGTCAGAAGCTTTGAGGAAGGTGTCTGATACTGTGATAGACACCAAAATGTAAGCATGATAGAGACATTATTGGATGCATAATACTGAAAGAAAATCCCAGTATCCTATCATTTTAAGTCTTAATAAGTCTATAATGTCTCAATTTTTCTAGGTAATCACGTCCACAGCGAGAGAGTTGTTGAAGAAGAGTCCCCGTCAGATTGTCACCATGGACGTGGGGAACGCCCCGCCCGCCGATCTGACAGGACTACAGCTGGCTCTGGCCGAGAGACAGTCAGAACTGCCTCACCTCAGCAAGGTAACATAGAACTGCCACACATAGAACTGCCACACCTCAGCAAGGTAACGTTGCCTTCAGTGCACCTCCAGTGCCTAGAATATTCTAATGGCACATCGGAATGTGCTTTTCCTATTGAGCTTGTGTTGTCGTTCTGTGTTGTCAACTATGAATATGTAGTACAGTAGCAGGGCTCGAAATCCATTTTTGTGTATACCTGCAAGTGTAGGTAACATTGAAAATCACCTACAGTTCAATTTTACCTGCACCACTCAGATTTTAGGAAGTATGGATTATATTAAAAATTGTTCAGAAACCATTGCCATTTTTAGGTGGTAGAATATACCTACATGTAGTTGGGTTAACTTTGTGTTTATGTTTGTCCACAATCCACAATCTAGTATTCAGTTGTTCTTTCTTAACAATCATTTCTACCATTTTCGCTGTTGTTGTATTGCAGGCCGGCCTCCCCTGTGTTATAGCTGACCCCGACCCTGACTCATCCCAAGCCTCCTTCGAGTTCGACCTCTCCCTAGCCAACCAGGTCACAGAGAACCTCATCACAGGCCAGCGGCCGCCCGCGCAGAGCGACTTCCGACCAGAGTTTGTCCGTTTACCGCCGCCGCTTCACGTTTGCGAGGACGAACTAGCGTGGTTAAACCCTACAGATGTGGAACACACCGTGGCGTGGGACTCTTCCATGTGTGTCAGTAACACCAGCAGTATAGAAGTCAAGAAACTCATGGCAAAGGCTTTCAAAGGTAGGGATTGTTGTACAGAGTATAGCTGGGGCATCATCCCTAGATTAAAAAATTCCTGCAGTTCGATGTGCACAGGTTAGATGCAATAGGTCATTTGGTGTAGTTAGCTGCCACGACATTCCATGCCTGCAAAGTTAATGTGTTACACTGAAGGGCATTTATGCTGGCTTTACAGATACAGATAGATACAGGTACAGATAAAGAGGTTTTGTTTTCTGTGTCTCTGTCAGTGTGTTTCCTTGTGAGTCCAGATTCCAGAGTTTGTGAGAGGGGGAGTTAAAATTTTGAGTTCAAAGGTGGCAGAATTGTAACTGTAGATGGGAAGAACAGGGAATAGAATTCAGAGGTTTAAGAACTAATTCATTTACATGAATCGACTTTTGCAAATTTTCCCTTTTAATTTTCTTCAAACAACTAAGCTCATGGAATAACAAATTGTATGTATGTTTTTCTCCTTCTAGGTCCCCTAACACTTCAACAACAACAGCAGGTTCTAAGTGAGCTGGAGACAGACCCAAAGTTAGTGTACCACATCGGCCTGACTCCCACCAAACTGCCCGACCTGGTGGAGAACAATCCGCTAGTGGCCATTGAAGTGCTGCTGAAGCTCATGCAGTCTAACCAGATCACTGAGTACTTCTCTGTACTGGTCAACATGGAGATGTCTCTACACTCCATGGAGGTAATGTGGATAGACCCTACTGTAGGTGCTATCATTAGATGTCTCTACACTCCATGGAGGTAATGTGGATAGACTCATCCCTCTCCTAATGTTGATAGACCCTACTGTAGTTGCTAACATTTAGATTGTCTCTAGACTCCATGGAGGTAATGTGGATAGACCCTACAGATTACTGAGTACTTCTCTGTACTGGTCAACATGGAGATGTCCCTACACTCCATGGAGGTAATGTGGATAGACCCTGTAGATCACTGAGTACTTCTCTGTACTGGTCAACATGGAGATGTCTCTACACTCCATGGAGGTAATGACTGGATAGACCCATCCCTACTGATAAACCCTACTATAGTTGCTGGCATTTATACACTCCATGGAGGTAATGTGGATAGACCCTGGAGATGTCTCTACACTCCATGGAGGTAATGTGGATAGACTCTGCTGTAGTTACAAACATGGAGATGTCTCTACACTCCATGGAGGTAATGTGGATAGACCCTGTAGATCACTGAGTACTTCTCTGTACTGGTCAACATGGAGATGTCCCTACACTCTATGGAGGTAATACTGTTAGACCCATTCCTACTGATAGACCCTACTGTAGTTACTAACAGTCTCTACACTCCATGGAGGTAATGTGGATAGACCCTACAGATCTAGATCTACACTCCATGGAGGTAATGTGGATAGACCCTGTAGATCACTGAGTACTTTCTGGAATGCCAGGAATCAAATAACCTGTAAACCTTTTGATACCTTTGCTAGCCCAGCCACTTGACCATTAATTTGATTCTACATACATAGATGACATGATATTTAAACAATAAATGTACCTCTGTAGGTGGTGAATCATCTGACCACGGCTGTAGACCTCCCCACAGAGTTTGTTCACCTCTACATCTCCAACTGTATCTCTACACATCTACTAGCTTATAGCTAGCCAGTCTTACATTCACATGGTTCTTAAAACTTAAATTTTTGTGGTACATGTATAACGTTATCTGTATGCGTGTCCATAGGTGGTGAATCGCCTGACCACAGCAGTAGACCTCCCGACAGAGTTTGTCCACCTGTACATCTCCAACTGTATCTCCACGTGTGAGAACATCAAAGATAAGTACATGCAGAACCGGCTGGTGCGGCTGGTCTGTGTGTTCCTGCAGTCTCTCATCAGGAACAAGATCATCAACGTGCAGGTAGAAGAAATGTCTCATATTGAAGAAAACTCGAATGATTTCATTTAACCACCTAGTTCTAGGGCCCCTTCCCTGAAACAGGTAAAGGAAACCATACATCTGATCTCCATGTAAAATCAAATGATTTTTATGTTTACCAAAGGAAAACATAGTTTTTTCTCAGTTTCCTCTTCTTCTTCTCCAAACCAATAAGGTCAATGACCTGAACCAGACATCTGTCACCATGGTAACTGGTGTTGGGTCAATAAGGTCAATGACCTGAACCAGACGTCTGTCACCATGGTAACTAGTGTTGGGTTACATCATGTTGCAATTTTATAACAGGAGGGATTTAGACTCCTGTCTTGCCATATACACATACATGTACATGTATATGAATGTGTTCGAGTGAAAATTAACAGAGCAGACAATATGTGAAGGTAAACATTATGCATTTAGTTATTATTATACATGTGTAATAATAATTATGATATTTTCCCCAGGACCTGTTTATTGAGGTGCAGGCGTTCTGTATTGAGTTCAGCCGGATCAGAGAAGCAGCTGGGCTGTTTAGACTGCTCAAGACTCTGGACAGCGGGGAGCAGGGGCCGACAGGGGCCAAGTAGTGGTGTAGTCTGTAAAATAATGGCTTAGTCTACCAACTTGTAGTTTAGTCCTTCTGAGAGGACTAAACTGGACTCAAACCCTAGAACATGCATAAAACAGGAATACATTGGCATGTAATGGTAATATATTACATGTACTTATAAAGTTAATAACATGTGTATTGGATGAGCAGTATCAGACAACAACAACAATAAGGAATCCCACTTTATCAAAGACCTCATTCCTCCTAGAAATATTTAGAGTTTTAGTGAATTATTTTTTAGTAATTATCGTGACTTTCTCCTGATTCTGTCTATGCATTTTCCACTGTCTCTCACAAGGCAACAGATTTGTATATAGAAGGAAGTTAAAGACAGGAGATGGGCTAAATTTTGATGGCCATGCAGGGACCTTTGACCTAACTTGTTGCCAGTTTCCCTCACATGCTTATCATGTAGGAAGATCTAGAAGTGTGAAAACACAAACTTCATATACATATACATGTAGCTTGTATAATGTTTACACACTGATGTCAATGGTACATACAAGCTCAGAACCATGGAATCATGCTGTGGTAGCACTTTTTATTTATGGAAATGGAAAGGTTGAACCCTATAGTCTCATAGTGTAAGTGACTATATAAAAATGAGGACTTCGACAGAATGCTGCCATCAGACATTTGTCCAACTGCATTAAAACAGTTGCTCAAAACAAAAACATATATCCAGTATTGTTGTACATTTATTGTTACTCATATAGCAGTTATTTCTGTAAGTGTGTATTCTCTTAATAATACTTCATTTTAGGTACAAAATGTAAAAGCCAACACTCTGATTTTTTTAATCCCTTTTTAATAGGCATAAGCATGGCCCCCTAGCGAGTTTCTTTAGAAGTGCAGCTGTGCTTTTGTTAATAACATCAAAGGCAGGCTAGCTCAATAAGGGAAGAATAGATTGACAACGTATTGGGTTGGTTGCATAGTGACTGTACCACAACAAAAGATAGCAACAATATTAAACAACTATTAACATTTTTCATTAGTTAGGCTCCATATTATACAACACCAACACTACAGGTGGTCGCAACTTGTTAAAATACAAGTCACAAGAGGTTCAAAGGCAACAAAAGATGTCGAAAAAGTAATTTTAACTCAGAAGCCATTTGCGTCAGTGACTAATCTCCAAGCAGATCTTTTGGTGGGGGTAAGACAGTATCAAATTGGCCAGTCTGTATCCATTTCCCCACCCAAGATCTGCCTGCACTCGAACAGGGAGGAGCACTTCTTTTCAAAAATGGTGTTGCTGCCCCTCCTTGTGCCCCTATTATCAGCTATCAAAAATTTGTTGTGCAAAGATTTTTACAAGCGGTTTATGGCTTGAATCTGGGACAAATCCAGTCACCCTCGCACATCTCAGTGGGAGTTCTCGCCTAACCCTGTCCAGATAATACTGTATGCTGGTCTGTCACCATGGTAACTAGTGTTGGGTTACATCATGTTGCAATTTTATAACAGGAGGGATTTAGACTCCTGTCTTGCCATATACACATACATGTACATGTATATGAATGTGTTCGAGTGAAAATTAACAGAGCAGACAATATGTGAAGGTAAACATTATGCATTTAGTTATTATTATACATGTGTAATAATAATTATGATATTTTCCCCAGGACCTGTTTATTGAGGTGCAGGCGTTCTGTATTGAGTTCAGCCGGATCAGAGAAGCAGCTGGGCTGTTTAGACTGCTCAAGACTCTGGACAGCGGGGAACAGGGGCCGACAGGGGCCAAGTAGTGTTAAATAGTGTTTAAGTCTACAAATATAGTGGTTTAGTCTGCCCAAGAAGGTTAAATACAAGCCTCCTTGGTCTGCCAAATCACCCCCATAATGAGGTGGTCTCATCCGTGACATTTGAACTTTTTTTGACCCTTTGTGACCTCTGGCTGTTTAGACTGCTCAAGACTTTGGACAGTCGGGAACAGGGGCCAACGGGGGCCAAGTAGTGGTGTAGTCTGTAAAATAATGGCTTAGTCTACCAACTAGTAGTTTAGTCCTTCTGAGAGGACTAAACTGGACTCAAACCCTAGAACATGCATAAAACAGGAATACATTAGCATGTAATGGTAATATATTACATGTACTTATAAAGTTATGTGTATTGGATGAGCAGTAACAGACAACAACAAGGAATCCAACTTCAACAAAGAGCTCGTTCCTTCTAGAAATATTTTGAGTTTTAGTGAATTATTTTTTAGTAATTATCGTGACTTTCTCCTGATTCTGTCTATGCAGTTTTCCACTGTCTCTCACAAGGCAACAGATTTGTATATAGAAGGAAGTTAAAGACAGGAGATGGGCTAAACTTTGATGGCCATGCAGGGACCTTTGACCTAACTTGTTGCCAGTTTCCCTCACATGCTTATCATGTAGGAAGATCTAGAAGTGTGAAAACACAAACTTCATATGCATATACATGCATGTAGCTTGTATAATGTTTACACACTGATGTCAATGGTACATACAAGCTCAGAACCATGGAATCATGCTGTGGTAGCACTTTTTATTTATGGAAATGGAAAAGTTGAAACTCATAGTCTCTTCTTAGTGTAAGTGACTATAAAAGAAAAAAAAATAGGACTTTGACAGAATGCTGCCATCAGACATTTGTTCAACTGCATTAAAACAGTTGCTCGAAACCCAATATATTCAATTGTTGTACATTTATTGTCTCTAAAATTATATCAGTTATTACATGTACTAGAACTTGGTCTTTACTTCATTTTAAGTACAAAATACGAAAGCCAACGCTCCAGTGTTTTTGAATCGCTTTTTAATAGGCATAACCATGCCTCCTAGCAACTTTCTTTGAAAGTGCAGCTGTGCTTTTGATAATGACTTCAAAGGCAGGGTACCACAATAAGAGAAGAATAAATAGGTAACGTATTGGGTTGGTTGCATAGTGACTACGACAACAAAAGATAGCAACAATATTGAACAACTATTAACATTTTTCATTAGTTAGGCTCCATATTATACAATACCAACACTACAGGTGGTGGCAAATTGCAACTTGCTACAATACACGCCACAAGAGGTTCAAACCCAACAAAAGATGCCAAAAAAGTAATTTTAACTGAGAAGCCATTTGCGTCAGTTACTTCAGAATCTAGACTAGTACCATTGTCCGATGGTTTTGTCATTCACGCATTTGTAACGGGCGTTTCTATTGGAGGGTTGACAGGGTCTTTCCCGTTGCTAGGTAACGGAGGTTTCTTGATTGTCCCAAGTGCTTTGGACTCTGACTTTTGCGTCATTGCTTTTGGGTTTGAATTGTTCACGTATGTCGTGCAACTGCTGTACGATCACGTACGACATTCTTGATGTAGTCGGCCATGTGTCGTATTCAAAATTCAACTTCCTTGTTAAAGAGATGAACGAATGAATCTTTGTAATATTTGTAAGTACATGTATGCTTAGGATCAAGGAAACTGTACTTAAAGCAGAATTAAGACCCTAAATGTACAGGAATTGTGTTCTCAATCAAAAGCACAGATGTCTGTATTTACAAATGTGATTTACATTCAATGATTAAGATATTTTTGGTTCGCCAAAGAGAAAATTCGTTGGCAACAGCTTTGCGCTGAACCTTTCAAACGAACAAAAGAATTCCTGAGAAAAATTGCATGTGTTCCAGCAGTGACAATGGCAAGAAACAAACCACGATCGTGTCGCAGTGACAAAAATCTAGCGGATGAAAAAATTACACGTATCCGGGCAACTGCATGTGCTCTCTCCGCTAGAACATATGTACCCTGGCCGGAGTGCAGATAGCGTTTTACGGTAATGTTAGGCGTTAACCTAAAGTTGTCCAAAGTGTCACAACGAATGTATGTCAACGATTTTTATGTCGTAGAATTGGCTGTAAAACAAGCAAACGCCGACAAGGGTCCTAGACAGCCGTTTTTTTGTCCAGGACGACATTTTAAGACGTCAATTTCAGACAAACCAAAGGTTGGTCTAAGGTGTTAGCCACCACGCCAAGCTTTCATGCACGAGGGCCTGCATGGGGGGCTCCCGACCACGCTCTAGTACGCTAAATTTTGAGAGAGCCGGCTACGTATTACGCTGAATTCAAGAAGCCTCCCCCTTTATGCTTTACGATAAATTCCAGGTAGCTACAACGCATTACGTAAAATACAACGGCGAATTACGCTCTACGCAAAATGCGCCAATTACGCTCTACGTTGAATTAGAGCGGTCCGCCTACGCTTTACGTAGAATCAAGGAGGTTCAAACTCCATGGTAGAATTAAAACGCCGATTACGCTCTACGGAAAAGGGCATGCGGCCCCTTTTCACCCGTCTACGTGTGTATCACTAGGGCATCACCCTAGTAGCCATGTTTGCCTAAATTCTCCGGTCTCTGGGTGTGCCGTACTTATAACTTATAGCCCCTCTAACGACTTGTTTCTTTATCTGAAGGCCCTGGCAACCGGCGTACACAGAAAAGCGATTTACATAAACGAACAAGCCGGTCGCTAAGGTCAGTTGGGTGGTCCCATGCTGTGAAAGTAGGACGAACTACGCTTTTGAGAAAACTGTTTGAGTGTGGATTTTTTTTATTCGTTTATCGTCAGTGGCGAGAGGGAAAGTTGAACCTGTATCTTCATCATGGCGGCTGACATGAACCTAGTACTGAAGGTCTTAGAACTGGTGAGTAGAAATCTACTGAATCATTGATAAAAGTTGCTAACGTATGCAAGTCTGTATTCTATCCCTATAAAACCACATGGCTATAGTCACTGTGGTACATTCATTCAATGTATGTTTGGTGAATAGATACTTGTAGATATGTAGGTAATTTTAAAGTAGCTGTATATGTAATCATTAGATGATCTTTTTTCATCCGTCGAATTTTAGCGTTTTGTGCATAATGATGATTTTTATGGATGTAGAATATGTAAAGACGTCGACAGTTGTGTGGATTGTTTCAATAGATTCGTGGTGCCTTTGGTTTTTGTGCTAGTGTGTTTCGGAGTCGGGAAATTCGTAGTAGGTCGCCGTGCAATTTTTAAACCTCAGATTTTTTTTTAAGCAGACAGGGACAGAGCATTATCCTTGATTTCTGATCAATATACAAGCATTTTATGACAGTTTGTATGTTGTTAACGTTGCTAAGTGATAACAACACTCTGATTTTATTGTAGAAACAACCTTGAACACTAGCCTCCGTAGCAGACTTATAGAACTGGGGGTTTGGTGGTCTTTGGATGTTTTCTTATAAAACGGGGGTAATTCAACCAGGCCGGCTATGTTGTCTATATGCAATCAGAAAATAGCACATAAAAGCTCCCACAGACCCTGAAGACCCCCCAACCCCCCCAAACCCCCAGTTTATTGGCATGGAGGCTACTTGAACACCCCTTAAACGATATAAGCTTGAAATCCAACTATATCCCTACAGATCTAGATAGTTGACAACCTTGTAGATTTGCATGTTTTTCCAGTATACATGGGTTTCCAATCTTTACGTTACGTTTAAACAAAGCCGAACTATGTCTCTTAACATTTAACAGTCCAACCCTTTGCGAATGGCATGTTTAGGAAAACATTGTCAAACTTCTTTTTCAACTTTTAAGGTTTTGCCGGCCCTAGTCTGTATGCCGCCGGTTGTGTGCTAATTTTTAACAAAGATGTTAAATGAGAAAAGCCCAAAAAGTAAATAAATTCTGACTTCAAATCAATGGGGATTGTTTGGTTTTGCTACAAGACCAAACAGTGCTTTGTGTTACACACGAGTAGTGGATACAAAGTACGCATGGTCGTAAAATCATTGCCACTCACACGAAGAGAGTGCTAGTAGCCATTCAGTGCGTACAGTATATATCAGGATTAAGATTTCGTTTCTTACCTCTTGACTACCTAACGATAGACAACGTAATTCTGCATCTGTATCTATATGTGTATAGCAGATGTAACCGCCTTTCGGGCATGTACACAAAGTTATAGGCCGCTTCTGGCTACATGTAATACGCTGAAGGACTTGTTACTCCTAACCTTTGCACATCTAACTGGCAAACGTACGCGTTGTTTGACTAATGCTGTCAAAGATGATGCTTAGTTGATAACTCTGGTACTTGAAAGCATAACGACTTTTTCGTTCCTTTCTGAGCTGGTATTAGATACTTTGTAGTTGTATATAGTGGATGAAGTGGGTTCATTCCTCAGTCTAATTGACACTGACATCTAGCACACCATAGTCGTAAGACATCTGTATAGTTTCCGTATAGAACTTTTCAGCGGCTCTATATATTTACGGATTTGTAAAGATATTATATAAAGCGTAAGGCTATGTTTTATATTCACGTCGTATTTAAGCAAACTGAAAGATGACGAAAAGGCGGAATTTGCCTTTCAGCGGCCTTTACAAAGTCGTAAAGTCTACTGAAATATTTTCCCACCTTTAATAATTCTTTACATATTGCGGAAAGTTTAAATATCGGTTTTCGTGCTGTGCTAGCCTGTTACACACTTATGCATACTTACATACTTAGTACTAGTTGGCAGTGCCAATCCCTTGGTTTCTTTATTTTTATAATCATGGCAGATATTCGGCCTGATCGCCTGGGCCCTGCTGGCATCCGTCCACGGGTTCTGGGCGTGGGGAGGTCAACACTGGGTCATGTTCGTGCTGGTGACGTGTTGGGTCGTCACCCTGCTGCTGCTCATCCTTAACAAGGCCGGGGTCTTCTCTAACGACACTGTGGTGAGTGGAGTGTTCTCTCATTTGTTCTTTTGCAGTGTGAGATTTACACGCTAGGGGGCGCAGTCCAACGTTCATTGTTCGCTGCCATGGGAAAGGGTTACAGTCCTTCGGGCAGGACGTTAAGCAATCGTTATCTATTCATTACCTTGGTCAAGCTGTGGTCCACTGTTCATGTCAAAAAGAGCTAAGGAAATTTCCCATACCCATCTACAATCAACTCGTAAATAGGCTACATAACACCGTAGCCCAATACACTTGACAAACATGAAAAATAACAAGGAAAATCGTAGATTTCAAACCTCCGGGTTTTTTTGTGTTCTATTGGTTTAGGTTATTTGTTTGTGTGTAGTATGAAAGTTATGTGCGTAATATGTTTGTATGTGTTTGATGGCTACTGACGGTTGGTTTGGTATGGACTGTTGATTAACGTGTCTGACCGCCTACACCGTCACCCGCGCCATTACCCCCGCCGTCACCCAAATTTTTTATCGGAACCAGACACCCCTCTGTTTGACCCCTTTTGAATGCTAAGACCCAAAACTGCAACCTCCCCATTCCTTAACAACATGGTAAATTCCATTTTCAGCATAACGGGGGTGTCCGGAGCACTTAAAAACCTTTTATTTCGACGCCCATAAGCTCATATGCAATTAAACAAAAACGTTCTGCATCATCTGCAGCCCAATAGCAATACGTATACCGAACAACAGACCAATCCATCCAGCCGATCGCGAGAAACAGCTGCTGACAGAAATGTTTCGAACAATAGTAAAACCTCCTCGCGGAAGGATATCTCCTTCCCCGGAGGTAATAAAATGCAAATACTCTCTCAAGTCTCATTTATCAAACTGTTAATTGTCATTCTCTCATGGTGATTTGTTGAACAGCCACTCTCTCATTGGCTGAACCGCTAATAGCCATTCCCTCATAGGTCGAACCGCTCGCTGCCATACTCTCATTGGTTGAACCGCCTATTCTCCCATTGGTTAAACTGCTAACTGCCACTCTCTCATTGGTTGAATCACTGATTCCCGTTCTCTCATTGGTTGAACTGCTATTGTTGTGTCCATACTTTAGGATGTGATCTATGCGGTCCTAGCGGCTCTGTGCTACATCACAGCAGCCATTGTTCAGTGTGTGAACGCCGACAGACACAACTACTGGCACGGCCACCACTGGGGCTGGGGCAACCCCGTCTTTGATAGGCACGCAGCGTCCGCAGTGAGTAACGTTCTTTGTTTGTTTGTTTGTTTTTGTTTGTTTCTATTTTTATGTACCAAGCAACAAAATAGCTCTTACGTAGAGGATATGATATCTATGATGGTCATCTTGTGATAATGCATTATCATTATGAATAATATATTTTAACACAGATATTCTAAATCTACAAAGGAATTGTTACTCAAGTAAGTGGATAGATTTTGAAACTGTTCCAAGTAGCATCCACTGCTTTTCGTCGAGTGACCGCTAGTAAATGCTGCTTGAAACGTCTGACAGTTTATTTTGCTACTTGAGTAACAACTTCCTTGCGTATCTCATTACCTTGATGCCTATATATCCTACATCGACGTTGAGTTTATAGGTTTTCTGTTTTAACCTCGCTCCAGGCTTTCGCCGTGTTCACCTGTATCCTGTACATCATTGATGCCGTCATGACTTTCAAGGGGAAAGGCAAACAGATCCTGCCTAAATAGATGCCTTCACAAGAAGCCTGGATGCCAGCCTATAGCTATTTTTACCAGGGCTCACATTCCTGGTCCATAACCTGGGTGTTCAGCCTGTGTTACACAATCTCTCACTCTCAGACTGATTGGGCCTCAATTCAGAGAGCTTGAGGCTATACACCTCTAACTCGAGAGAACCGTTCCCATTCCTAGAATAGGGGATCTCAGAATCCTTTATTACTGTGAAAATCAGTCCAATAGGAGCTCAGGATTCTCTGTCACTATGGAAACCAATCATCACAGCCTCTTACACTATAGTAATATAACAGACGGTTGTCAGTCTCAGATGTTCCAAATTCCCCCGACTTACTTAGGGGTATTGGCCATTCAGGTTTGTAGCTATAGGGGCCTGGCCAGTGGTAGGGATGCTCCCTTAAAATTAGGAAGAAAGTATGGGAGCCCGGTAAACAAATAGAATGGCACCCAGGCTAGGACTGAATTGTTCATATTACAAATGTACAGATTCTTTACATTCCCTAAAAATTTCTATTTGAGAATACGTCCTTGATGGTATAAGCCAAAATGTATACAAGTTTTATTCTAAATACGTCTTGTTGTTTTTTGTTTATCTTTGTGTATAATAAGACAATTGTCTATCAACTTCGTTTGGAAGGTCCAAAGCAATTCAAAGTTTCGCATTGTATGTCGAGGCTTGAATTTAAATTGTGCTTTTATTTTTTTTTTTTTGAAAAGAAAACAATATATACCAGTTGTGTGTGTTTGTTGAATTTCTTGTCTTTTATATAGTATATGTCTTCAGTATGTTTGTGTTCGCTGATAAGCGAGAACGACCTCTACCAATCACTATCAGTACTGCAGCAGGTCACTGACTGAGCTGCAATAACCACTTCGACCGCTAGAGGCCCTCATTACCACGTCAGTTCTTTCGCAATTTATTCCATGTGGAAAATCAGGGCATGGACACGCTGAGATCTTTGCAAAAAAGGCAATTTATTGCATAGAAAACCACACTGCAACCAAAAGGATATCAACGCCCAATCGTAGACCGTGTACGGTCTTCTTACATGATATCAGCAGTAGCAAGCTGAACGACAAAAGTAGACAGCTTTGCTACTGTTTGATTGGCTACTGTTTCCACATGTATTGTCGCTGTGGGCCTTCGTAGAATGGTACTAGTGTGCTTGGTTTACGTTTACGGAAGCGTTTGAAAAGCAGCTTATGCATGTGCACGGTGGCTTCGTAGAAATCAGGCACCCGTTGAAGAAGTGAGTTGCCGTTCCAACAGTTGTCATCACTCCCGCTTGTACACATGGGAGACCGTGAAGTCACCTGTAGTCATAGTCTGTGGGATAGAAAGCTGGATGTCAACGAAAACCTCTGTAGCAGGCTTATAGAACTGGGGGTTTATTGGTGGTCTTCGGCTGTTTTCTGATTAGCCCAGTTCTAAAAACGGGGGTAATTCAACCAGACCGGCTATGTTGTCTACATGCAGTCAGAAAATAGCACATAAAAGCTCCCAAAGACCATGAAGACCCCCAAAACCCCCGGTTTTTGGCATGCTGTGGAGGCTACTTTTGACTTGACCTTCGGTCTTGTACTTACGACTGTCATCTCGTCCCCGTTGAGTTCCCGCACGATGCTGCTGGTTTTCCCGTTGGCGTAGGTCTCCGTGGAACGCATCTTGTTTCCATCCCGCACCATTTTCAGCTGGAAACAACAGTAGTATAGTGAGAACATCAGTAGACGAATCTACAGATCGCGTAGTAAACGAGTTATCCTAGTCACAAATCAATAATTGATTACATGTTGGAATATATAAAAAAATCAATAAACAAAAAGATTGCGTAGGGACCTTCCAAAAGGCCCATTTTCGAACTTAACCTTCGTCTTCCCTACAGTAACATGCCTACCAAAAATTATGAACATCCATCGATGGCTTCAAGAGTTATCCTGCCTACATCCGCAGGCACTCTACCATATATAGCCAAACCTAAAACCTTCTTGCGACAGTTGTGTAGTGACAACATCACCAAACCGATCTTTGTGATCTACATATCGCATAGTAAATGAGCTATCCTGGTCACCAACAACAATCCTGGACACCGATCGCCTTCCCATACTTAATACACGGTAGATCGGAGCGCGTCACCGCCTTCCCATACTTAATACACGGTAGATCGGAGCGGGTCACCACCTTGCCATACTTAATACACTGTAGATTGGAGCGGGTCAACACGTTCCCGTACTTCATATCTGCCCACGGGCTTGTCCTCGCCCCCCCCCCCCCCATAAGGCTAATTTTCGAACTTGACCTTTGTCTTCCCAACAGTAACTTGCCTACCAAAAACCATGAAAATCTACCCATGGCTTCAAGAGTTGTCCTGTCTACATCCACAGTCACACCACCATAGCCAAACCGAAAAGTTAACATAACCTTCTGGCGAAGGTAATGTACTAGGCTAGGGCACTGCAAGGGTACTGCTACAAAACGGCGTCGCCCCTGAGGCGTCGCCAAAAAAACAGTCGTGTTTTTATGACGCCATCTCACCTTGAGCTTCCCCAGGCGACCATGGTCGTCCACTTCCTCACCCAGCTTCATGGTCTTCACCTTGTCTCCGTCTGGAAGACCATGTATCTAAAGAAGGACGATGAAGACCATTATTTTAGCTTTGTGCGAATGAATCCTGAACTAGATCTACGACGAAACAAAAGGTAACATTTGCAAAGCAAATGCATAATGTTTACCTTCGCATATGGTCTGGTCTGTTAATTCTTACTCAAATACATTCATATATATGGTGACTGGAGTCTAAATCCCTCCTGCTATAAAATTGCAACATGATGTAACCCAACTCTAGTTACCATGGTGATAGACGCCTGGTTCAGGTCAATGACCTTACGTGTTTGGGGAAGAGGGGATAGGTCCATTTTTGGTACGGGGGATGCATATGTGGTGAAGCCATCTGTTGCATTTGCTCCAAAGCGAGTGTCAGCCTTTCTAGTTTTTTTATGAATGCATTTTTTAATGTGTGTGCCCAGGCATATCTGAAAAGCAGATCAACGGATCTGAGATATGCCCTGGTATAATAAGTAAACTTGAAACTTAAGACCCCAACTTACAGTAGTGGTTATGGAGTCTCCGTTGTCCACTGTGGTGAAGTGTATCTTGTCCGGCCCAAATTTCTCCAAACCTTCCAAAACAGCCGGGGGAGCCTCTGAGAACAACGATTAGATTATCAGCCTGGATGCCAGACCCATAGTACACTGGACACAAAGTGTGCACACTGAGATACTTTGTGTCCAGTGTTCTATGGGTCTGGCACTCAGTTTATAGTCTATCACTAGCAGGAAAAGGAAAGTCCAGGAATTATTTTGTTCCCACACCGGCCCTGCGAGTTCTGGCAATGAGTGCCGCTCCAGGGATGTCGAATTCGGAAGATTCGAGGACGACTCTTGAAAAGAAAAGGGGGAGTAGTGTAACAATGGGGGGTTATAGGCGCTACCAACTGACCCGGCCGAGCGGTTAGAGCGTCTGGTTATGAAGCTCTGGTGCCCTGGAGGTCGTGGGTTCGAACCCCAGCCCGGGACCGGGAGGGTTTTTTACTGGCTCCTCCTGTTTCTTACTACTGTAATGACAAGTTCACGGTACAGAATTGACAGTGAAAACAGTGAACATAGAAGTACCGTGAAAAAAATCAGGAATTACAATAACACCTAAGGTTTGCTTCTTCTGAATATTTAGCGAGGTCCTGTCATGTTCTCTTTCTCTTTTTGGCCAATTTCGACTCTTTCCAGCAACTTATACTTCACTTCGCCCATACACTAGTACGTCTAGCCTCTACCAGGCTTGAGGGCGCGGCTGGAAATAGTAGAAATTGGCCAACTAGAGAGATAACACGCCGAGG